TATAGCAGTGGGCAGCTGCTAGTGTAGGGTCAGGATAGTGTGAATAGCCACTATAAACTGGTTATAGCAGTGGGCAGCTGCTTGTGTAGGGTCAGGATAGTGTGAATAGCCACTATAAACTGGTTATAGCAGTGGGCAGCTGCTAGTGTAGGGTCAGGATAGTGTGAATAGCCACTATAAACTGGTTATAGCAGTGGGCAGCTGCTAGTGTAGGGTCAGGATAGTGTGATTAGCTGTTAGCACTGTCTTAATAGCGTGATTAGCTGTTACCAGTAGGCTCAGGATGCAGGTGTCTATTGTGTGTACGGAACACAACCTGAAGGGTCGCAGTGGTGATGATCGCCCCAACCGCCCCAGCATAGTGGGGGCGGGGCATAGCAAGCCACGCCCGCACTGCCCACGGCCATGCACGCAGGGCCACGCCCACATGAATGAAGCTACTGGACGCAACACCAGCATGAAGTACAGGTGAGAAGGGCGGAGCCATTACATACACACACACACACACACACACACACACACATACACACACACACACATACACACACACACACAGATGAGCACGTGCTAACCAAGTTGATGTCAGTGATGCTCTCCGATCCTGAGCTGTGATAGATCAGTGTGTGATGAAAGCGACCCTGAGGACCCTCAATCTAATCGAACAGATTACGCCACACTGACCTTTGACCCTGTCACAGTGTTTACAGTGGAGGAGCATTTACACCAATCAGACCAGCTGACCACACACACACATTCTGAGACTGCAGTCTGTCTCTCAGTTTAAACTTAGTCTGGATAACCGACTCTAAATGTAGGTATTGTGATATAAACTAAGTCTGTTCTACAGTTTCTCATTAGGCTGAATGAATAACCGACTCTAAATGTAGGTATTGTGATATAAACTGAGTCTGTTCTACAGTTTCTCATTAGGCTGAATGAATAACTGACTCTAAATGTAGGTATTGTGATATAAACTGAGTCTGTTCTACAGTTTCTCATTAGGCTGAATGAATAACCGACTCTAAATGTAGGTATTGTGATATAAACTGAGTCTGTTCTACAGTTTCTCATTAGGCTGAATGAATAACCGACTCTAAATGTAGGTATTGTGATATAAACTGAGTCTGTTCTACAGTTTCTCATTAGGCTGAATGAATAACCGACTCTAAATGTAGGTATTGTGATATAAACTGAGTCTGTTCTACAGTTTCTCATTAGGCTGAATGAATAACCGACTCTAAATGTAGGTATTGTGATATAAACTGAGTCTGTTCTACAGTTTCTCATTAGGCTGAATGAATAACCGACTCTAAATGTAGGTATTGTGATATAAACTGAGTCTGTTCTACAGTTTCTCATTAGGCTGAATGAATAACCGACTCTAAATGTAGGTATTGTGATATAAACTGAGTCTGTTCTACAGTTTCTCATTAGGCTGAATGAATAACTGACTCTAAATGTAGGTATTGTGATATAAACTGAGTCTGTTCTACAGTTTCTCATTAGGCTGAATGAATAACTGACTTTAAAGTTTCTCATTAGGTTCTCATCTCCGAGTGTGCTCCTCTGTGTGACAAGGGAATGTGTGGTGTGTGTGGTATGTGTGGTGTGTGTGGTATATGTGTGGTGTGTGTGGTGTGTGTGTGGTGTGTGTATGGTGTGTGGTGTGTGTGGTATGTGTGGTGTGTATGGTGTGTGTGGTATGTGTGGTGTGTGGTGTGTATGGTGTATGGTGTGTGTGGTGTGTGTGATGTGTGTGTGGTGTGTGTGATGTGTATGGTGTGTGTGTGTGTGTGTGGTATGTGTGGTGTGTGTGATGTGTGTGGTGTGTGTGATGTGTGTGGTGTGTATGGTGTGTGTGTGGTGTGTGTGTGGTGTGTATGGTGTGTGTGATGTGTGGTGTGTGTGTGGTGTATATGGTGTGTGTGATGTGTGTGATGTGTTGTGTGTGGTGTGTGTGGTGTGTGTGATGTGTGTGTGTGGTGTGTGTGGTATGTGTGGTGTGTGTGTGGTGTGTGTGGTATGTGTGGTGTGTGTGGTGTGTGTATGGTGTGTGTGGTATGTGTGGTGTGTGTGGTCTGTGTGGTGTGTATGGTGTGTGTGGTATGTGTGGTCTGTGTGGTGTGTATGGTGTGCGTGGTATGTGTGGTGGGTGTGTGGTGTGTGGTGTGTGTGGTATGTGTATGGTGTGTGTGGTATGTGTGGTGTGTGTGGTGTTGTGTGTGGTGTGTATGGTGTGTGTGGTATGTGTGGTGTGTGTGGTATGTGTGGTGTGTATGGTGTGCGTGGTATGTGTGATGTGTGTGTGGTGTGTGTGGTATGTGTGGTGTGTGGTCTGTGTGGTATGTATGGTGTGTGTGGTGTGTGTGGTATGTGTGGTGTGTGGGGTCTGTGTGGTGTGTATGGTGTGTGTGGTATGTGTGGTGTGTGGTCTGTATGGTGTGTGTGGTATGTGGTGTGTGTGGTCTGTGTGGTGTGTATGGTGTGCGTGGTATGTGTGGTGTGTGTGGTGTGTGTATGGTGTGTGTGGTATGTGTGGTGTGTGGTGTGTATGGTGTGTGTGGTATGTGTGGTGTGTGTATGGTGTGTGTGGTGTGTGGTGTGTGGTGTGTGTGGTGTGTATGGTGTGTGTGGTATGTGTGGTCTGTGTGGTGTGTGGTGTGTGTGGTGTGTATGGTATGTGTGGTGTGTGTGGTCTGTGTGGTGTGTATGGTGTGTGTGGTCTGTGTGGTGTGTGTCGTGTGTGTGTGGTGTGTGGTGTGTATGGTGTGTGTGGTCTGTGTGGTGTGTGGTGTGTATGGTGTGTGTGGTGTGTGGTGTGTATGGTATGTGTGGTGTGTGTGGTGTGTGGTGTGTATGGTATGTGTGGTGTGTGGTGTGTGTGGTGTATGGTGTGTGTGGTGTGTGTGTGTGGTGTGTGTGGTGTGTGTGGTGTGTGGTGTGTGGTGTGTGTGGTGTGTGTGGTGTGGTGTGTGTGGTCTGTACTGTATCTCCTCTACGTAACTGAGTTTGACAGCGGTTGAGGAGCTCATGGGTCAGTAAACCCCTGTATCTCCTGTATCTCAGGCCCTCAGACTGTCAGTGATGGAGATGGTAATTATCAGTGTTTAGAGTGTCTCAGTTCAGAGTCTGACCATAACAATCACCACACAACGTACACACAGTTCATTTTAAATGGCACAGCATCGCTCTACTTTGCTTCACATACAGTCATGCACAAAAGTTTAGGCACCCCTGGTCTAATTGTATGTTGTTGTTTATTTTGTGTAAATAAGTGACCACATTTTAATGCGCATAATTAGGTAACACTGTGTTTGGATGGTCCACTTTAGATGGTTTGTTGATACTTAATTTACTTTCAGGTTACATTCAACTAAATATCTACTAAACTGACCACAATTGTCTTTAACTCTAAACCTGCTCTAATCCTAACCCTAACCTTAACCTCACCCCAAAACCTAAACCCAACCCTCACCCTGGTTCTAGCCCTAACCCTAACCCCACCACTGTTAGAGTCAACAGAGAGTTTATCAACAGTTTCAACATCTGTAGATGATCTGTAGTCGACCATCCAGATCAAGTGAGACCTAAACGTAACAGAAAAATGCCGTTTTTAAGTGTGACGTCTGTAGAGGAGGTGTCAACTTAGAAATTCAAACAAATCATTTGACTTTTTCATACGACTGTATTTGAAAACTCCAGTTACTCTTTATATGGTGTGAAAGTTTTATGATTGTTGGAAGAACATAAATCCACAATAATTTCATTATATTAACTTACATTAAATGTAGATTATTTTTCCCTTCTCCTGTAAAGTTACCATCTCAGATCAGATCAACAGTGAAGATTTGTTAATAAAACTGATTTTTCAGGTTACCGTGGTTACCATGCATTGGTTATTCCAGCAGGTTATTGGTGTAATAGTGGGCGGTTACCATGGGGAGGTAATTTAAGGTCTTTCCCACAGGTTGATTGATCCATTGGTCCAGCCCTGACTGCTGTGTTACCCCACTGATCATTGACTGGATACTTTATTTGTCTTCATTATTAATGCGCTAAGCTTTGTGTTTGCTCTGTCACTGTATTGATCAGCAGCTGATCGATTACTGATGCAGGACTGTGGTTGTTGTTCTGCAGGAATCTGGGGAAGTGTGGCTTAAGAGTGTCTTGTTTGGGACTGGGTGAGTTTCTCAAACACACACACACCATGTTGGTCTCAGACTTCTGTATTACTGTAGCTGATAATGCTACATTTACAGCTAAGGATAACTTTAATCTCTGTAATTAAAATCTAAATCTAACTCTACTCTTAGGCCCAGTCCCATTTCTTCTTTTTACCCCTACCCCTTGTTTTCGAGTGTTGCTCCTTGGAACTGAGTTACAGGGTAGTGGTTGAAATCTTCCCTCTGAAATGGGACCCTCAAATAAAAAGAGCATCACTTCATTAACAGCTACCAGCACTGCTCTGTAGGCGACCCTGCCAGTCTGCAGTGACAGCAGAGGAGGGTAAAGTTCAGCTCCTCACTGCTGGGCTTTAGTTACATTTAGGGCATCATATGACTTCAAAGAGGGGGCAATTATTTATTATCACCCACCCCTAATTCTTCAGTGATATGAAGCTGAAGTCAGATATTCACCAGATTCTTGTTTGAATTTTCCCGTTCCACCTTAAATAGAACCTGGCACCTCAGGCATCAGAACTGCTGCTCCATGTAAAGTGGAACGGAAAATTTAGCTACCGAGACGTCAGCACTACTAGCGATTTTAATGCTTGTTATGACAAACTATAAAACATTGAAAGAACCTTAAACTAAAATAATACAATGGTGTGGCATGTGCTCGCCCCAACACTTCACCCCACCCCTCTATCTCAACAAGAATCGGGACCCCCTACCCCTAGGCGAAAACTCGAAAAAGGGATGGGTAGGGCTGAGTGGTAGGGGCGAGGGGTGAAATGGGACTGGGCTTTAACCTCAGTAATCTAAATCTGAACTTAATCTTGCCCTCAGTAAGCTAAACTTAAATTTAGATATAATCTTAACCTCAGGAACCAAAACTTTACCTTTCTACTCCTTTAGTTTTTTTTAAAAAAAGTTGTTTTGTCATGAAAACATCACGTTTTCTTGTGAGGACCACCAAAATGTCCTCATTGGACAAACTGGCGTGGTGTCCTATCTGTGTGATCTGTATGCTAATATGAGTTTGTATGTGTTTCAGGTACCTGGGTAACGTTTGGGTCTCAGGTTTCTGACGAGGTCAGTTCTGTTTTCCTCTCTCTCACACTGTCCAGTTAATTTTGTCTCGGGTTCTAAACTTTAGAAGAGTTTTGCTGTATGGATTCCTGTGTGTGTTCCAGGTGGCAGAGAGTGTGTTGACTGTAGCGTACGAGAACGGTGTGAACCTGTTCGACACAGCGGAGATCTACGCCTCAGGAAGGTCAGTTTCTTTTTCCCTCAGAGTGAAGAAAAGTATGACAGTGAACACTTAAACATTAACCAGCATGAGCCAACGCGATGACTGCTTACGAGTTTAGCGTTCCAGCCTTGTGGGTCTGGAAGGTCGCCGGTTCGATCCCCTGAGCCGACAGTACATGACTTAAGTGCCCTTGAGCAAGGTACCTAATCCCCAACTGCTCCCCAGGCGCTGTGGATAGGGCTGCCCACCGCTCTGGGCAAGTGTGCTCACTGCCCCCTAGTGTGTGTGTTCACTAGTGTGTATGTGGTGTTTCACTGCACAGATGGGTTAAAATGCGGAGGTGAAATTTCCTCATTGTGGGACTAATAAGGGTCTCTTAAACTTAACTTAATAGTCTTATCTTTACAATGTAAAAGAGCCCCCTTATATTCTTATCTTTACAACGTAAAGGAGTCTCCTCATAGTCTTGTTTACAAAGTAAAGGAGTCCCCTCATACCCTTTCATTTACAATGTAAAGGAGCCCCTCATAGTCTTGTTTACAATGTAAAGGAGTCCCCTCATAGTCAAGTCCCCTCATAGTCATGTTTACAATGTAAAGGAGTCCCCTCATAGTCTTATCTTTACAATGTAAAGGAGTCCCCTCATAGTCTTATCTTTACAATGTAAAGGAGCCCCTCATAGTCTTATCTTTACAATGTAAAGGAGTCCCCTCATAGTCTTATCTTTACAATGTAAAGGAGTCCCCTCATAGTCTTATCTTTACAATGTAAAGGAGCCCCTCATAGTCTTATCTTTACAATGTAAAGGAGTCCCCTCATAGTCTCATCTTTACAATGTAAAGGAGGCCCCTTGTAACTCATGACCTCCCATTACCTGTGAAGGAGCTTTCCGTTTACACCGTATAGATCCAGACGTTGACAGACAGACAGTAGGTTCCTCTGTCAGTCCTGTCTGAGTGCTGTCCGAGGGAGTTAGTGGGAAGGTGGACATAACTTCCCGTTATAAAGTTATGGACCTTCTGTGCTGATAAAGTCTGGCTGCTGTCCAGCATGAAGGTCCCTTCAGAGTCATACTCGGGTTTACGTGTGGAAATGGCTGATGTAAATGTGGACACTTTGAGATTAGATTTAAACCCATGGATTATTTTTCCTTTTTTCATTCCTCTCTGCAGTCGTTTGTTTGATGTTCTATCGTCTCTCGCTTCCTCTGCAGGGCAGAGACCGTCCTGGGCAGCATTGTAAAGAAGAAAGGGTGGAGGTGTGTGCTCATGGATTTATGTTCCGTATGTTTTATGTGTCTGTGTGTTTACGGTCTGTGTGACGGGTTTGTTTTTGTGTCTCTTCAGACGCTCCAGCTTTGTAATCACCACCAAGATCTACTGGGGTGGACAGTGAGTGGGACACTGCCTGCGTTCGTACACTTACAGATATATATGTATGTCAGTGTATAAATACACTGTCCGTGATTGTGGTGTTTTGTGCTGCAGGGCAGAAACAGAGAGAGGTTTGTCCAGGAAGCATATTATTGAAGGTATGACATCACTGTCCTCCTGATCTGACCTTTGACCTTGTAGACATCCTACACAGAAACCTTCCGTGGTGTCTCTGGGTTAAATGTGGATCCTAAAGTTGAATGTTTGACGAGTATTTGTAAGAAATGTGAGCATGTACTGTTCATTATTTAGCAGACCCAGATCCCTAGTTTAACATTTTCTACATAAATAATTAATTAACAATAAAATGTATAACTTTGTAGCATTGAAGTTGTTTTTAAAAAACAAAAATAAATAATAAAAATACTAATAATACTAATAATAACTAGAAGGAGGAAGTTTGAGAACAAACTCTTGGTTGGCTTGACAAAGCTGTTGCTATGAAATCCCAGGTGGTTGCTAAGATGTTATTATGTTATAGCAGGTGGTTGCTAGCAGGTATGTTTCTAGGCCACTGATATAATATCCCAGGTGGTTGCTAAGGGTTTGCTGGGCCATTACTGTGATATCCCAGGTGGTTGCTAAGGTGTCGCTGGGCCATTACTGTGATATCTCAGGTGGTTGCTAAGGTGTTGCTGGGCCATTACTGTGATATCCCAGGTGGTTGCTAAGGTGTTGCTGGGCCATTACTGTGATATCTCAGGTGGTTGCTAAGGTGTTGCTGGGCCATTACTGTGATATCCCAAGTGGTTGCTAAGGTGTTGCTGGGCCATTACTGTGATATCTCAGGTGGTTGCTAAGGTGTTGCTGGGCCATTACTATGATATCCCAGGTGGTTGCTAAGGTGTTATGATGTTATAGCAGGTCGTTGTTAAGGTGTTGCAAGGCCATTGCTGTAGAATCAAAGATGGTTGCTTATGGTGTTGCCAGGCCATTAATATGTTATCCCAGGTGGTTGCTAAAGTGTTGCTGGGCCATTACTATGATATCCCAGGTGGTTGTTAATGTATATATATCTATATATATATATCTGTATATATATATATATATATATGTATATATATATATGGTAATATGTGAATCTGTATGTAATGTCTACGAGGGTCAGTGTGAGTGATGTCCTTTGTGACATCATTTGTGGCAGTTACATTTGAAGTTTCTCAACACTGCCATAATTTTTCTTTGGGGACAAAAATCGTGGTAAACTAATGCTGTACGAAAACCCTACATGACTGTAAGGTTTAGTGGTTCGTGACTCATAAAAACATATAGAATAATAAAACAAAGAACAGTCAGACTTTTCAGACCAAGCAACAGTAATAACGTTTATCCGTTCAGTTATTATGGTAAAACATGTCTTCAGTTTTTCTTATTCATAAAGAATATTCAAAAATTCAAGATTATATTAAAAACAATATTAAAAAATGAAAGTATTTGACTGTTGTAGCTCTCGTCTTATCAGCAGGGCAGCACTTCTGTAAGACGCTGTTGTAGGTTACTGAAAGCTTCTCCTGCTGACCGACTGTCCTGTCTCCCTGTCCTCAGGTCTCCGTGGGTCTCTGTCCAGGTTACAGATGGACTATGTGGACATTGTCTTTGCAAACCGCACAGACATCAACACCCCTATGGAGGGTCAGTGTGAGCGAGTGGTGTTTCTGATAGAAACTCTCTTCACTGAGCTCAGCTGGTTCACGTGTGTGTGTGTGTGTGTGTGTGTGTGTGTGTGTGTGTAGAGGTGGTGAGGGCCATGACCTTCGTGATCAATCAGGGCCTGGCCATGTACTGGGGAACCTCACGCTGGAGCGCCATGGAGATCATGGTGAGAACATTCACTCATTCACATCTTCAGGATTTACTCACATTGTTAGGATTCACTCATTCAGTGTTAGGATTCACTCATTCAGCGTTAGGATTCACTCATTCAGTGTTAGGATTCACTCATTCACAGCGTTAGGATTCACTCATTCATAGCGTTAGGATTCACTCATTCACAGCATTAAGATTCACTCACTCACAGTGTTAGGATTCACTCATTCACAGCGTTAGGATTCACTCATTCACAGCGTTAAGATTCACTCACTCACAGTGTTAGGATTCACTCATTCACAGCGTTAGGATTCACTCATTCACAGCGTTAAGATTCACTCACTCACAGTGTTAGGATTCACTCATTCACAGCGTTAGGATTCACTCACTCACAATGTGAGGATTCACTCATTCACAGCATTAGGATTCACTCACTCACAATGTGAGGATTCACTCATTCACAGCATTAGGATTCACTCATTCAGTGTTATGACTCACTCATTCAGTCTTAGGATTCACTCATTCACAGTGTTAGGATTCACACATTCACAGAGTTAGGACTCACTCACTCATTCATTGTTAGGATTCACTCATTCACAGCGTTAGGATTCACTCGTTCACAGTGTTAAGATTCACTCATTCACAGTGTTAGGATTCACTCATTCACAGCGTTAGGATTCACTCATTCAGTGTTAGGATTCACTCACTCACAGTGCTAGGATTCACTCACTCACAGGGTTAGGATTCACTCACAGTGTTAGGATTCACTCATTCACAGTGTTAGGATTCACTCATTCACAGCGTTAGGATTCACTCATTCAGTGTTAGGATTCACTCACAGTGTTAGGATTCACTCATTCACAGCGTTAGGATTCACTCATTCACAGCGTTAGGATTCACTCACTCACAGTGTTAGGATTCACTCATTCAGTGTTAGGATTCACTCACAGTGTTAGGATTCACTCATTCACAGCGTTAGGATTCACTCATTCACAGTGTTAGGATTCACTCATTCAGTGTTAGGATTCACTCACTCACAGTGTTAGGATTCACTCATTCACAGTGTTAGGATTCACTCACTCACAGTGTTAGGATTCACTCATTCACAGTGTTAGGATTCACTCACTCACAGTGTTAGGATTCACTCATTCACAGCGTTAGGATTCACTCATTCACAGTGTGAGGATTCACTCATTCACAGCGTTAGGATTCACTCATTCACAGCGTTAGGATTCACTCATTCAGTGTTAGGATTCACACACTCACAGTGTTAGGATTCACTCACTCACAGCGTTAGGATTCACTCATTCAGTGTTAGGATTCACTCACAGTGTTAGGATTCACTC